GGCCTAAGCTGGGCTTTGCCCTTTGTGGCTCTTGGGGACGGGTGCAGGAAAGGTCATGGCCATTACCCCCAGCTGTGATTGCTGTTTATTACCCCAGCACTCCTGGAATTAGCCCTGGTGATCTGGCACGGTGCTGAAAGGCAAACAGACTCCAGCAAGACTTTGGGATCAAGACCAGCCTTTCCTCACCTTCAGCACTCACTGACTGAGCTTTGTCCTTTGGCTGCCTCAGCCATGCCTGGGGAGGGGGAGAGCTCGTGGCTTTAATGGCCTGGGGACCAAACCCTGGCCACTGATGGGATGATAAAGAGCCACATTTTGATATGGGAGTGCAGCTGTGTAATGGGTTACCACAGATCTCTCTGTTTCATCTGATTTATTGTGTCTGCTTCATCTGATTTATTATCTCTGCTAATTATCCCAATAAATCAGTGTTTGAATGAAACCTGCCATTGATACTAAATGGGAAGGATTGGAATGAGTTTTGGAGAACTAACAGGAAAAAATCCAGCCGTATATGTCAGAGAATGAATAAGACTTCTCTTGGCAAAAGGCAAGCAGGATTGGTAGATACAAAAGCAACATGTAACGTGGTGAAAGGATGGATCTCCCTGTGTGTTAGAACTTCACAGCCATCACTTTGCCAAGAACATTTTCACCACCATGGCATCCACAGGTGATACCTGTGGGCAAAGACAAAAGAAGAGACGCTGCTGTGACAGTGCTTCCTTATATTCTATGAAATTTACAGTAATGAAAAAATACATGTAAATCACAGAGAGCAAACGAAGCAGGGGCAGTGCTGAAGTTCTCATGCTGCTGGTTGGGGCAAGGGGGTTGCAGGTGCAAGTTACTGTGCTGAAATCTTGCTGATTTTCAGAAACAGAGGAAAATCCTTCTCAGACTGAATGTGTGCAAGATTTATTCCCCACGTTTCCAGACAAATACTAACCTAACAGCTGGCAGAAAAAAGAAACTGTATCACCTGAGTGCATCCAGCAAGCTACTGGAACAAAAACATACCCTTCTGTGACAGCCTGAGCTGGCCCCTGCAGAGAGCAGGAAACAAGCGAAAATGTGAAGCAGCCTCTGCTCCAACAGCCAGGTTTGCATGCGTGTCGAGCCACTGCTGTTGGCTTTGCTGGCTCACTCCAGCTCTCACGCTCCACCCTTTGAGGTTGTTTCATTTGTTGTTTGTATTTTTTTCCCCAGCTTTTGCAATCAGTCAGAGGCGGGTGATAGCAAGTTCAGGGAAAAGATATTTCCCTGAAGAGCAGCTGGAGAGCAGTCCTAGCCCTGCCTGTGCTAGGTAGAGGACAGTCAGCCACGCCACCTGCTTTAGCCTAGAACCATCCCCCCCCAAACCCTGGAGGTATCCTGGTGCTTGAACTGATTTTGCAGGTAAGCCTTTCTTTTAACTCCCGGATCTTGGTAGCTGAGCGTTGTCTAACCAGGAAGTTAAGTCTGGCTGGAGACAAAACACAGCAGAAATGGCGTAAGGGCAGAGCAGGGAGAGCTCAGCTGCTCGGTGTCGTAGATACACTGCTTTATTTACTCAGTTGTTTGCCTGAAGCAAGTCGGGCGTTTGTGCCATCTGCCTTATTTCAGTTAAAACAGCCTTATAAACACCCGTAAGAGACAGACAGACAGACAGACAAAACCCACACCACTGTTTTCCCTGTAAGTAAAAGTGAATAGAGTTGTAGTTCCGGGGCTTTGGGGAAAATCTTGCGAACAGGCAAAAGCTGAACAAAGAGAGTCCCCTAAATTTGATGCTCTTAACCCCACAGTGGATCACTCAGGCCTGCTTGTAGGATGTTGAAACGTGGGAGTGGCCATGATGCAACAGTTGAGTTCTTCTGTAAGGCTTCTACCTTAAAGGTTAGGACATGTGGGGAGCCAAAGCAAGGCACCCTTTGCTGCTGCCAGGATATTGCGCCAAACGAGAATTTTTCATTTTCATTGCTTTCTTTATGTCCTGAAAGTATCTTTCCAAAATTCCCACACAATTTTGGCTTTGCTATTTTTCATCGGATTGAGAATATCATCCTGTTGGAACTGCTGGAGTTTATCTTACAATTTTACTTTGAGAGTTGTACACGGGAACTTGAGAACATTTTGGGACCTCTTGGGCCAGCAAACTGAACAACATTGCTCCACACTTACAGATGCCTGAATTTTAGCAGTGCCTGGGGGGGAAATAACAAAAGTTCTTGGCTCCATCAAAAGCCCATTCCTTCCATCAAGGGCTGGGAGGGCTTGAGCTGCTTTCCACCCCTATATTTGTGAAACAGCCTCACACTGAGCCCTCTGCCATCCCAGAGCAATGCCTGCTCCCCTACCCATGGGCAGACACCCACTGCTGGGATGACCGCATATAGAAGGAGCACATGCATTCCAAAAAATGATGCCAGAAAATCCAAGACCCCCCTGAAACTTGTAGTTTTGGTCCATACCTTGGATTCCTCCTGCTGCTGGCACGGGGCTGTGATTAGCAGAGCTGGGGAGCTGAGCTGTGCTGGGGGGAGGCAGCTCACAGCAATTGCAGCAAAAAAGCTCCCACAGCCTTTTTTGCCCTAAAGGAACCTTTTGCACTTCAGGTCACATCTGCTACTGCAGGCACAGAGAGCAGGAGCAGGTGAGACCAGCTCGTGCCAGGCTGCCTAAATAATGAAGAAATACCACAGCGGGACAGATTTGTGTCATATTTGGTTGCAGAGGAGGCTCTGGGTTGCTCTGCAAGAGTGGGAGGGTATGTTTTCTGCTTCGATGAGTCAAAGCATGAGCAAAGCAGTTCAGACCTGGAGAGTCTCAGTTCCTATCATTTCTAGCAGGGAAACATCTCTGCTACTGCTTTTGTTCCTTCCTACAGAGATTTGTAGCTTTGCTGGGCAGGAACTCTGCTGAAATGTGCTTAGCA